GTTATTAGGCGTATAATTGAAGACATTTTTGGCATGTGTCTTTCAATCACGTTCAAGTCTTGAATTTTAAAATCTGAGCAATGTTAAAATCTGTTTTCCTTTTGAATTCTCGTGCCTTTGGTGAAACACTGGTATCAATTTAAAACAAAGGGAATTAATTTTATTATAGGATTAGCACATTTTTTGTTGTTAATTTTTTCCCCATGATTGAAGGTTGAGGACCAGTTTGGTTAAGTGACCAAGTTAGAGATTGTGAGTTCTAGTTCCATCTTCGGGGCAAAGCAAGCTGGGTGACTTTAGGCCAATCACTCTCTCTCAGCCCAAGGAATAAATGCAGTGGTTAAACCATTTCTGAAATCTTGCTAAGAAAACTTGTCTAGGCATTCACTAGAAGTTAAGACTGATTCAAGGTACGTGCGCGCGCGCACACACACACACACACACACGCAGAGAGAGAGAGAGAGAGAGAGAGAGAGAGAGAGAGAGAGAGAGAGAGAGAGAGTGTGTTAAAACATCCTGATATTACTCATGTTCACAAATCCAGGACAAGGGAAAGATTGGAGTAACATTGTCTATTGCAGTAAAAGAACAGTACATGTTCTTTCCATAGAAACACAATATCCTGAGCTTGAGTTTACTGTTGAGAACATTTTTATGGTATAAAAAATGTCCTTTCCTTCATAGATCTTGATAAGCTTGACAATGAAAAGAAGGAGCTGATTCAAAATGATATCTCTGCTCTTCATCACTTTTATTCAAAGCACATAGAATACCCCGACAATGAAGCTCTGGTGGTACTTTTTGGACAGGTAAGGTGGTTGAAGATAAAAGCAGGTTATGGACATCCTGTGACTTATGGCACAGGAAGTAGAATTGCATAGATACAAAACTGTGTTGACATTTCTGCAATTGTTTCTTGGCTCTCCTTCGGTGTGGACTGTGACTGCACTAATTTTTCAACACTGCAAAGATACTTTTTTTACTTCCTCATGTATTGCATATGTAAAAAACGTGGGCATATTAAATTTCAAATTCCTTCTTTTGGAAACATATGAAAACCACATCAGATTCACATATCATGTTTCAAGGAATTCTGCTGGGGAATTTTGGGATAAAATGCAACATGCTTAGATGACATCAAGTGAATTGTTAAGCATTTTAAAGTAGGAATAACTTTCATGTTTTTCTGGACTATTATCATTCCAGGTTCTATTTTTTAAAGATTTAAATGTAATGAATGAATGAATGAATGAATGAATGAATGAATGAATGAATGAATGAATGAATGAATGAATGAGATTTTTAAAAAAAATTCTTCCCACCTTCCATCTTTTATGGTATTTGTGTGGTTTGGTCTGGCCCAGCTAGGCTATGCAGTTCTAATTTTTCAGGCAAAATTAGATTATAAATAAACTTTGCATAAGCTCCCTTATGTAATCCTGGTAGTTCAACAGCAAGACTTAATTAAGAATAAGCAGTGTTATAATCAGATTAATCAGCATGGTACAGATGAATGGGGTCAGCTATCATGCAGAGCTAAGTAAGCCAATGGATTTTTTATTTCTAAGATCTGAGTGCTTCTGTCTTCCCCTTCTCTCAGGTTAACTGCAATGGCTTCACAATTGAAGATGAAGAACTTTCACACTTGGGATCAGCAATATTTCCTGAGTAAGCTTTTGAGAAATAATACTGTATTCTTTTTTCCAATTTATTAATGTCATTTTCAATAATGAATGTTGAAAAAAAATCTCTAGTTTACAGACTTGAGCGAGTAGTTCATATTTCAACTTGTACTTCAGAAACCATTTTCTTTCTTTTTATTCATTTATAATATAAAATACAAAAATACAAAAGAAAATAGTGGGAAAATAAGGGAGGGAAAAGGGAATGGAAAATGTAGGGAAAAGGGAAAAAGAAAGAAAAAGTTTTGGCTTCCGACTCCCTTTAGTGCAGAAGAATAAGATAATAGCATCAAACCTCAACTTTTTACTTTTACATAGTAGTGTAAACTAGTCATTTCTATAACATCAAACCTATCTAACAAACCCAAAATCAAAGTTTCATTTTTTTCCACCTCAAGCACAAAGTCCAAAAGTGGTTTCCAAGTAGAAACAAAAGTAATTGTTTTTTTTTCTTTAATCAAAGCAGTCAATTTAGCCATCTCTGCTAACTCCCATCAACTTTTGCAGCCATTCGTTCATCCATTGTGGGAATCAAAGTGTCCTTCCATTTTTTTACCATTCTCAACCACTCCATGTTCAACCCAAGCAGCTGATTTTCCAGGTAGCATCTCTGCTTCTGGATTAGGAATGGCTGCTGAACAGAAGACCTTGCATTAAGTTAGGTTAGACAAAATAAAGTAAGTTATTTATCTAACTTAGTATTGTCTACTTCCACTGGCAATAACTCCTCTAGAGACCTTCACTTGAGAGAGATGAAGACAGGCAGATTGCATCCCCACATCAGGCTGGAAAATTAGCACATTTGAAATACTGGACAGAATTCTCCAAATTCTCATCAGTGCAAGGCCAAATGGCCAAAGGTTGGGAATGAGAGGGACTCAGAGAGACTCTGAGTTCCAAAAACTTGATATAAACCATAATAGATTCAGTGGTCTCATATGGTATATTACAATCTTTTATGGTAGTAGTCTACCTATATATAGAGAAAGCTGTGATGTAAAGACATAACATTTGATTTTTTAGGACCTCTGAGAACCCAGCCTTTAAACTTGCGAATAGATGCAAAAGAAGCATCAAACACTTCAAAGGCAAAACATAAATTTTGCATGCACAGGAATTCACCAAGGTCTCTGGCCTCTTTAGTTAAAATCCTCACCATTATTAAGAAGGCTTTTAGATGTTAGATTCATGAGACCCATTGTAAATTAAGATGGGTGATTTTGCCTTACACTATGACTGTTGATAGCTTTTTAATATTTATATGGTTGGGAGAGAATTGAGTTGATACATATGGAATGTGTATATGAATCCCATAGAAAATCAAGATGCTGAAATGTCAAAAAGAAACAGAGAAATAAAAGTTCCAGTTGGCCAACTGACCCATGGAGAAAATGGAATGAGCCTCCCCTTTTATTTGCTTAGCTTATATAGTGTTGATCAAGGCACCCAGATGACTGGTCCTGGTCCTTGACATTTTTGCAGTAATCATTAAGTGAATCATGCAGTTGTTAAGTGAATGGCACAGTCATTAAGTGAACCCATTATTCTGAATGGGTGTTTTTTGCTGGAAACCAGCCAAAACCACGGGAAATCAATAAAAACCATAGCAAATTATGGTTGTCTGACCACAGGATGCTGTAAGCAGTCATAAAAGTGAGCCAGTTGCCAAGTGCCCAAATTTGGTCACATGACTGCTTGCTTCTCAATTTTTAGCAATTTGGAGCAGGACATAGACCACGAAGGAGACTACAAATTAATGACTTGGCAAAAGGAACCTTGGAGGAGATCACGTACACCAATGTGGCATTGATCTTCATGTCTTGAAATATTAAAATCAACATTATCCTTTGGGAGTTGGAATATGGAACATGTGGTTCAACTATGATCGATTCTGTTATGGCTTATACTGATATTTAGCTACAGAATGTGTTGCCATAAAATAATCATTTCTGTAATATATTACTTGGATATGGCTTACGGCCACAATTGAGCCCAGAATTTCTGCTGTTAAGTGAGACATTTGTTAAGTGAGTTTTGCCCCATTTTACAACCTTTCTTGCCACAATTGTTAAGTGAATCACTGCGGTTGTTAAGTTAGTAACATGGTTGTTAAGTGAATCTGGCTTCCCCATTGACTTTGCTTGTCAGAAGGTCGCAAAAGGGGATTGCATGATCCCGGGACACAGCAACGGTCATAAGTATGAACCAGTTGCCAAGCACCTGAATTTTGATCACATGACCATGGGGGATGCTTCAAAGGTCGTAACTGTGAAAAATGGTCATAAGTCGCTTTTTTCAGTGTTGTATTTTGAATGGTCACTAAATGAACTGTAGTAAGTCGAGGACTACTTGTATAGAAAAATTTGCAAATTTGCCACCCAACCAAAACCAGGCACAGTGAAATTACTTTAGTACAGTGGCTTCAGTGAGAAAGTTAACACACACTGAACTCTGTTTCTTTAAAGTACCGTATATACTCGAGTATAAGTCGACCCGAATATAAGCCGAGGCACCTAATTTTGCCACAAAGAACTGGGAAAAAATGGTGACTCGCGTATAAGCCGAGGGGGCATTTTTCAGCACACACATTTTTCCGCCTGGGCTAATCGGCCTCTTTGCAACCCCACCCCTCTGGTAACCGCGCGATTGTAGCACTTTGCACAA